GAGAGAGTTTTGAAATGGTGAATTAAGCTGATGGGGGCCCAAGGCTTTGCTATAGAGAGGGAAGTAAGAGGTATCAATAAGGGGATAAGAATTGGTGAAGCACTTCCTGTTTCTATTGAAGATCCTGAACTGTTGGAATAAGTAGCAGAAAGAATGCAACCAGAGAAAGGGATAAAAAGATTTTTTTGATAAATTCAAACTGGAGCAAAATGCTATTGGGTTTAAAATTAGGGTGGGTACATTTCCATTCGGTATGTGATGTGGCAAGTATGAGAGTTGGATAGGGGGGGCTTGATGTGTGTATTTTTGTATGCTTGATTTCCAGGGCCCAGGAAGGCTCTGAAACTTCAAGGCAAATAAAATTTCATCCAACAAATATTTTCAATTTTTTGCAACCCTTATTTGTTGTTGTTTTGGCATTTCCTAAAACTGGAGTCGCATGTTGAGTAGAACAGATTAAACACCTTTTTTTTTTTAATGAGGAGTGACAGTTGTATTTTGTTAAACAAATGAATTTTTTTGTGTGTGACTTTTTAAGCAAAAAGAGCTATTATTAAATAATACAGGCCAGGAGGCAGTGGCTCAACTCTGTTACCCTTAGCACTTTCTGGAAGGCAGGAGGCGGGAGGATCGTTCAAGGTCAGGAGTTCTTGTATTAGCCTGCACAATGTATGTTTTATGTCTGTCTACTTTTATATATGTATAAGAAATTATGTTTTGTTAACTAAAAATCTATATAGAAAAAATTTTAAGCCGTTGTGTTTATTGTGTGTCTTTCATGCTATATTATTATTTGCACTCTGGGAGGCTGAGGCAGGTGGAGTTGTTCTTGGAGGTCAGGGGTTTGAATTTCAGCCTAAGCAAGAGTGAGGACCCCATTCTCTACTTATAAATAGAGAGAAATTAATTTGGCAACTTTAAATTTTTTATAGTATAGGAAAAAATTAGCCGGGGCGATTTTTTGTGGGTGCACGCCTGTAGTCCCAGCTATTTTGGGAGACTGAGGCTGTAGGATTGCTTGAGGCCCTGGAGTTGGGATGTGTGTGTGTTGTTTATGGCTGATGCCTATATATTCTTAATGTGTGTTATATATGTGTTCTTTTGTTTCTATATAAAAGAAAAAAAAGAAAAAAAATTAGCAGGCATGGTAGCACATGCTGTGTCCTTATTGTGTGTTATGGCTGATGCATTGTAAGGTTTGTGAGCCATGATGTGAGTTGCTGTGAGTTGGCTGACGCCAGGCACTTTAGCCTGGGTAACGGAGCAAGACTCTGTAAGAAAGAAAGAGATAAAGAAGAGGAAGAAGGAAGAGAGAAGAGAGAGAGAGGAGGGAAGAGAGAGGAGAGAGAGAGAGAGAGAGAAAGAGGAGAGAGGGTGGAAGGAAGGAAGGAAAGAAAGGAAAGGAAAGGAAAGGAAAGGAAAGAAAGGAAAGAAAGGAAGGAAAGGAAAGGAAGAAAGGAAAGGAAAGGAAAGAAAGAAAGGAAAGGAAAGTAATACAGGGAAAATTGTTTTAGCTAAAATTAACAGGAGTATTGGTTGGATGATACCGGGTGCCCTGTATTCCCCCC